GACCTTGAGGCTCCACTTTTGTAAGTGATGAGATGCTCATCTCTCTTCTTGAAACAAGTGTTGGCAATCTTAAAATCATACGCCAATGAGAAATCAAGAAGAGTTTGCCCTTCATTGTTTAGCTCTCCAAAACCAAAACCACCATGCACCCTCGCATACTGACCAGCTTCCCTCCCGACATGCCCATTAAAGTCTCCTCCAATAAAAATCTTTTCACTCTGTGGTGTGTGTCGAATCAACCCCTCCAGATCCTCCCAAAATAATTCCTTAAGACTGGCTTCTGTCCCGACTTGCGGCGCATAAGCGCTAACAATATTAACAGTCTCACGTCCAATTATCATTTTTAAAGAAATAATTCTGTCTCCAATTCTGCTAACTTCTACAACGTTCTTCTTCCACTCCTTATCTATAATGATGCCTACTCCATTGCGTGCACTTACTTTTCCTGTATACCAAAGTTTGAAACCTTGAATATCCTTAGCTCCTTCTCCACGCCATTTTGTTTCTTGCAAGCAAAGGATATTGATTTTCCTTTGACTCATAACCCCTACAACCTCTACAGATTTACAATTTAATGTCCCAATATTCCAAGTACCAAATCTAATTTTGCTGTTATGGACTAACTTCTTTAGCCGCGTGCGTCCAGAATGACGCGGTAGCCCTTGCTCATTTAACACTACATCCGGGCGCCGATGCAGCGGCTCTAACTCACTTATCACTGTACTCGAGCCATGCAGCGCGTTACTTACGGGCAACGACCTAGCATTAACATTATAACGTCTATTGTCCATGTTCATGATAGATTCAACAAATTTTTACATTGGCTGTTGATGGCCTAACACAACCCTCCTCCTTTACCCGGGCTTGGGACCGGCTATAAATATAGGCGGAGTTAAATGACTTCAAATTTACAAACTAGTTAAATGTATTTGTTGCGAAGAAATGCTCTCTCTCATCTATATTCTCTTTATATTATTGAGACTGAATATACACATGTACAAGAGAAAGAGTAATAAATGCTAATCCTAAATCTTAAACCCTAACACCTCACCTAATCAGCACCCAACACCTCGCTTAACATACCACATAAAACCTCACCTAATATATCACATAACACCTCACCTAACCACCACCTAACATCTAACCTAACATATCACCTAACACCTATACAAATTACATAATATTTTACATATTAATATCTTAATACTCTCCCTCAAGTGGGAGCATAGATATTGCTCATGCCCAACTTTTTACAAAGATATTTGACTCGGGCTCCATTAAGAGCTTTTGTAAACAAATCACCAAGTTGTTCTCTAGTGTGCATATGTTTTAGTGGAGATGAAGTTTTCTAGAATCTTATCTCAAACAAAGTGACAATTGATCTCGATGTGCTTTGTGTGTTCATGAAAAACTGGATTAGATGCTATATGCACTGTAGCTTTATTGTCACACCATTACTTTACTGGCAATGTGGTTTTGAGACCAACTTCCTTCAATAAATAATATATCCACACTACATCAGACACAGATTGCGCCATGGCTGTATACTCTGATTCTGCACTAGATCAAGATACCACATCTTGCTCCTCCAAGGCACCAAATTTCCACCCACAAATACACAATATCCAGTTAGATCATCTTGTAGCTTTAGACTCCCTAAGATCTACATCGCAGAAACACTCAATATCTGTATGCCTATGATTACTATATAGTATTCCTCATCTAGGAGCTCCCTTCAAGTAATGTAGAACATGCTCTAAAGCATCCCACTTATTAACTGTAGGTGAGGGCATAAACTGACTAAGAATACTTACTGGATAAGCAATATCAGGATGAGTCACTGTGAGATAATTCAATTTCCTAATCAATCTTTTGTACCTCTCAATTTTGTCAAAAAATGCACCCATGTTATCATCAAGATTAGGATTAGGGATCATAGGATAGTTGTATGGTGTAGCTATCAATTTACCTATTTCCTTTAACAAATCAAGAACATACTTTCTTTGAGATAGGAGAATGCCCTTCTTGCTTGATAAAACTTCAATTCCGAGAAAATGTTTCAATGGTCACAAATCTTTTGTTCAGAAATGAGTGTGAAGGTAAGATTTGAGAGATGAAATGCTAGAAGCATCACTTCCGGTGATTACAATGTTATCAACATAAACAACTAGAAGAATCAAGCTAGTATTTGTTTTTTGATAGAACACAGAATGGTCACATTTACTTTTACTTCATTTGAACTTCTACACAACATCACTAAACCTGCCAAACCAAGCTCGAGGACTCTGCTTCAGGCCATATAAAGATTTTCGTAGGCGATAGACTTTATGTGAAATATTATGTAATTAATATAAGTGTTAGGTGGTATGTTGGGTTAGGTGTTAGGTGGTATGTTCAATGAGGTGTTAGGTGGTGGTGTTTTTAGCATTTATTACTCTTTTTCTTGTGTGTGTATATGTATATTTAGTCTCAGTAAGATAAAGAGAATAAAACCACCTAACACCTCAACTAACCACCACCTAACACCTATACTAATGTAAAATATTATGTAATTTGGCATTTTACATAATATTTTACATTAGTATAGGTGTTAGGTGGTGGTTAGGTGAGGTACTAGGTGATATGTTAGGTGAAGTGCTAGGTTGTGGTTAGCTGTTACTCTTTCTCTTGTCTATAGATATTCAATCTCAATAAGATAAAGAGAATAAAAACACCTCACCTAACCACCACTAAGCACCTTACCTAACATACCACCTAGCACCTCGCCTAACAACCACCAACACCTAACATATCACCAGAGCATGAGGCACTCGATCATCAAGGAAGTAATGACCACAAGATTCACAGCCTCTATCAATAATCTTTGTCATAAGATCTTGGATCAAACAATAACCAGGAAATAATAAGACACAACAATTCAAGTCACTAGTAAGTTTACTGGGAGAGATAAGATTAAAAATAAAATTAGGTACATCTAGTATAGATGATAAATGAATTGAAGGAGTAGGTGTGATAGTGCCAAAGGCAAGAACTCGAGAAGAGGAGCCATTAACAATGAGAATACTAGAGGGTTTGGTATACAGCTGATAAGAGAAGAAGAGATGATGGTTACTTGTCATATAGTCAGGAGCCCCAAAATCGATGATCCACTTGGAGGAAGAAGAAACGAGACTAGTTTTATGATTACCTGACTTAGTAAGTGTAGCAATCAGTGGATCAGTGGACTTTAATGAGTCTTGGTATTGAGTGAATTGGGCATATTCAGTAGCATAAATCATAACCTCGTCACTAGGCTTGTGATTGGAAGGTGATGCAACATGAGCACACACTAGTTGTTGCTGTTTGTTTTGAAGCTTTCAACAGGTACACTTGGTATAGCTTGGTTCATGACAATAATAACACAACTATACCAAAATCATGATTTTGATCACCAACTCCCCTTGGTTTTGAGCTTGCTCGAGTAGGTGGACCACGACTAACCAAAGCACTATTGTGATCAATGGATGGCTTCAAAGTGAGATTCTCAATCCTCATTACTCTAGAAAAGGTTTCCTGAAGATCAAAGATCTTAGTTTTGGACAAGATTTGAGACCAAACGGTCTCATGTTCAGTTGGAAACTCAGTAAGAAAACTCATAATGGCCATTTGTTCATGTTAAACCTTTTGCGTTTGTTAGTTAGTGGTAAGAGGCAGCAACATATTTATCTCTTCATATCTCCTCTTGAAATCCATAAAGTAGGCCTTAAGAAACTGATTCTGCTTCTCTTCACGGTAGAAGGCTTTGCAAACTTCATAAATACAAGAGATATTTCCCTTCCATGAATATTGAAATTCCAGATTCTCTATTAATTAATTAACAAACTCAAAATGATTAACAAAACTAATAATCTCACTCAATAAAATTATGAATTTGCAAGAATAATTGTGCATCATCTCTCAACCAAACTTGATGAGTGTCATCAGTGGGAAGATCCTTTGTCAAGTAATCTTCCTCTTCACTATTCCTTACGTAGATTCGAACAATTTTACTCCAATCCAAGTAATTGGTTCAATTAAGTTTATGCTAAGGGATATTATTAGTGACAACAATAGCCTTGCTTTCAGCCATTAGAGCCTAAATTAACTGAAATCAATCCAAGATCAGATGGAAAAACAAGCAGAGAGCAAGCAATGGTCACACCACGGACGAAAACTGCAGAGACTCAAACCAAACTTGGCTGTACAAAAGCCTCACACAAACAAAGATCACAAGAGGGACCAAGAAACAATCAAATAGAAGCCTTACAAGAGCAAAACAAGGAAGAACATGAAGACCTAGACTTGGAAACCACCAGGAGATGACTGGAAAGGATAAGTCAATCACAACAAAGAAGACCACTGCCGGAAGCTCGTCCACACATGCCCTCACGTGCCAGTGCGTGATTTTCCAGCGATTTTACAGGTGGTGTGTGAGCTTCACTTGTCAATCAAAAGCAACTCAAACCAATGGGGAAATGCCAATCAGAGGGTGGGGAACCTTTCTATCTAGGTGGTGTCGCTCAAATCAACCCTAAATGGATGCCCTAGAACTCACTCTCACACACACGCTTCACTATTAGTTCCAACGGATAAGAGAAGAATAACATAGGAAGAAGCTCTGATACCATGTTGCGAAGAAATACTCTCTAATTTATATTCTCTTTATCTTACTAAGATTCAATTTACACACACACACACAGAAGAGAAAGAGCAGTAAATGTTAAAAACACCTAATACCTCACCTAACTTAGCATACCACCTAACACCTGTACTAATTACATCATATTTTACATATTAATATTTTAACAGTATTGATAAAAATAGTTAGTTACAGGAATAGCGATGGGCCAAAAAGAAAATCTGCTTATCATAATATAATTGAAAAAAAGTACATTAATTATATTAGTTTAAATTTCTTAATTTTTCTCCTTTAATGTATAGGTGTTTTTTTCTTGGTGACTTAACTTTTTGTTCCATTGTAGGTGGATATACCATCATTACTGTGCTATGGTAATGGCCCTGGTGAGTCTCACTTGGGAGATTAAAGGACAACCTAATTGTGCACAAAAGCAGGTTAGCTTTCCTCTTACGCATATAGTTTTGTTTTTCATCCATGTAAGATTTGAAGAATCATCAAAGTTTTTGCCAATGCATGCAGAGAGGTGTACAACTTTTTCTACAGTGGGCTATGATGCAAGGAGTGGCAATGCTCTTGCAAAATAGATATCAACGGCAGAGACTTTATACTCGTATTGCACTAGGAAAGGTGCTACTTTTTAAAGGAACATTGTAGTGTTTGGCTGCCTTTTTCTTGATTTGCTATTTGAATAATATTTTACTTGCAATTAATCTTTCCATCTGCCAGCTCTCTCACTTTCATCTCTCCTAGTTACCTACTGTTATATTATTGTGCCTGGTACTGGCTTGATTATTTTTTCCTTTTTCCAAGTGCTATTAATTTTATGGTGAAACAAGTTCTATCATATGGATAGAAAATGAAATTATGATCTCATCCTTGTTTTCCTATGAATTTTAGGCTAAGAGAATGGATATTGTCTGGGGAGAAACAGCTGGAGTCGATGGCCAACTGTGGTTGTTATGCCCCATACTTTTCATTTTGCAGGTAATTAAATTACATGGCCTTTGGTTGCCTATGTTACTTATGTTTACAGTGTGCAATGTTAAGTGTAATTATTCCTAAATCTATCATCTCAGTGCTAATAGGAATTTTACTCGTGGTCCTACCAAGATGCATCAGACAATTATCTGTCTATGGCTCTATGCATTAAATAAGAAGGTTTCAGAGGCTACTCAATCAATTAAGTGCCTCCTCATTTTCTCTCCTCTATCTCGTCTTTCTCTTCAAGGTAGTAGAACCTTTATCCCTGATCCAGAAACCCTGGCCACCAGGCAGGGAGTATTTTTAGAGGAGGTGCAATTAAGGCCTATCAGACCACTCATTTTGGTGACTTGTGATTTGAAGCTTAGAAGGGAAGCATACTCTTTGTACAACCAAGTGAAGAGCTGGAATTGTATATTGTATTTAGTGGAAGGCCAGATCTTTGGATTTTGAAAATTCTGTCAAGGTTTCATTTTAGTGTTATCACTTTCTAACCAGAAATTCAAATTTTAAACTTAGAAATGCCACCCAAACATGTGGACCCAAAATATTTTGAGCTTGGTCATGGACTTTTGTTTTTTTGGTTCTATTTGTTAACTGTGTTTATTGTGATTTTTTTTTTAATGCCCTGGGGATATGATTTAATGAGTTGTGGTTCATTTTGTGTCTGAAAATATGAGTTGTTGTGTGAGTCTAGAGCCAGTCACCTTTGAACTGTTAGTAATAAGAGTTGTGCCGAAGAATAAGTTAGTCAGGTGATTGTTAGAAAGTCTAAGACTCTAAGTGGAGTGGTGACTGTGTTGCTGCCTTGTTGGTACATTTGTGTCCAAACCTGTTCCATTGCCCCCATACCTTTCCTCTGCTCCTGTATAGGGTGTTGATTCTTTCAAATTTTTTGAACGATAAACCTCTCTTAACACATGCCACGGATTACACTCCCTATTTGCAGCTTCCACAACAAGAAATTGCCTTCAAACTTCGTTGGCATTGAATGGGTGAAAATGATGACATCTTTCTTTGCAGATCCAGCTTTTGCAGCTGAACATTGAGAACTCATTACTCTTTAGGTTCAAGGCCATATCATAAAGGAAGCACAGAAGAGATTAGGCAGAGATAGCTTATTCTCATTGGTTAGTAATATGTAAAAAATGTGCTACATATAGCCGGTGAGATATAAAGAAACCAGCCTAGCTACTATAGCAAACTAACTTACTGCAGGAAGCACACAAGAGATCAGGCATAGAGAGATTATTCTCTTTGATCAGGAATATTTACAAAATGTGCTATATATACCCGGTGAGATATAAAGGAACCAGCCTAAATACTAGAGAAAACGAACTTCCTCACTGCTCTTGGACATACTCAAGGAGGTGAAAAATCAAATCTTCTGCAGCAAAGCAAGTAGCTGGAACAGCCAAACAATGATGAAGTGTCCTCTAAAACAGAGACAGCACTGCAGGAGCCTAGATAGGTCAAGAGGAGCCCTAGGCTATACTCTAGTGTTGTCAAGATGTTATGAATTAGCTCTTGCCAGAGAAGAGGTGTCAAGCATCAACATGGAAGGATATAGACAGACTTGATGGTGCATGGGAGAGAGTGTGGTGGTTGAAGGTGATTCAGTTAATTTGGAAAGGCCAGTTAGAGAGATTTGTGGTGGTTGCTAAAGTTCTTTTCATCAAATGCCTTATAAGAAAAGGGTAGAAAGTGATGTGCAACAATCAAGCTTATGGATTGGGGGGAAAAAAAGGTAATGTAGGAACAATGAACGCTACAAAAGTTTAACAAAGGTATACAACAACAACAACAACAACAACAACAAGCCTTTATCCCACTAGGTGGGGTCGGCTACATGGATTGTAAGATGCCATTGTGTTCTATCATTTATCAAGCTTTTAGGAATATTATTAATTAAGAGATCGCGTTCAACAACTTCCAAAAGTGTTCTCTTAGGCCTTCCTCTACCCCTCTTAATCGGACTCAAAGTTATATGTTCCACTCTTCTCACTGGTGCCTCCCTTGGTCTTCTTTGTACATGCCCAAACCATCTCAACCAATTTTCTATCATTTTTTTCTTCAATAGGTGCTACCCTCACTTTTTCACGTGCGTGCTCATTTCGAATTTTATCTTTACGTGTATGTCCGCACATCCATCATAACATTCTCATCTCTGCTACTCCAACTTTATGCTCTTATTGTCCTGTTAGAGCCCAACATTCACTACTATATAATATTGCCGGTCTGATAGCAGTGCGATAAAACTTTCCTTTAAGTTTATTAGGCACCTTACGGTCGTAAATAACTCTTTTAGCTTTTCTCCAATTAAACCACCCATCTTGAATCCTATGTAAAATATCTTCACTGATTTCGCCATCATTTTAAATAATGGTTCCCAAATATCTAAACTTTTCCACTTGAGGTATAATTTGATCTCCCAATTTTACTTTCAAATTATTGTCGGATAGTCTCTTGCCAAATTTACGATATAAATATTCCGTCTTACTCCTACTCAGACAGAAACCTTTCGACTCTAATGTCCTCCTCCATAACTCAAGTTTGCAATTAACCTCTTCTCTTGTCTCTGCTATAAGAACTATATCATCCACGAAGAGCATACATTTGAGAATTTTCCCTTGAATAAGTTCCGTCAAAACATTTTTGACAAGGGCCTAAAAGTTTAACAAAGGTAACGGGCCTGAAAATTTTTGACAAGGGCCTAGAGGCTCTAATACCATGACAAGTGGTCTTGAATTTTTGTATATTGTCATGAGGCAAGTTCATCATACTATTTATAGATGGCATGGGAGGCTACTTTGGGAAATAAAATTACAAATAAGGGCAAAAGGAACTAATGACATGGCTGTACGTTAATAATATCATACTATTTCTTAACATATCAGCAAATGGCTTTTTATGGGGGTTTCTGATAGTGTTTCGAGACAATGGGTGATCTAGGAAGAAAGATATTGTAAATAAATATTATTTTTAATTTATTTTAGATATTTTCTATTTAATAATACTGTTTAGATTTTATTTAGGTATTTAGTTATCTAGATTTTATGTAGATATAGATATTTATTTCGATATCTAGTTATTTAGATTTTATTTAGATTTTATTCAATATTTTATATAGATATAGATTCTAGGAGATTTTATTCAGTTTTATTTAATTATCTAGTCATCTAGATTTTATTCCTTATTTTAGATTGTATTTAGCATTATAAATATGATTAGCAACTCAGAAACAGGCATTTCATGAATAAAACAGGCTTTGGATACTTTTGGCCCTTTAGAGATTCTCCTAAGCTAAGCTATTGAGAGAAGTATCGAACGAGATTCTTGTTCTATATCATCTTGATAGATTTACTCCTTCGATTTTCTTCTATTAGTTCTATGTTATTTTATTAATATTATGAAGTTAGATTCTTATTTCATATGAATTTATCTTATTTCTCTCTACCTATCATTCGGCATCGGAGTCATTCGATCCAAATATGGTACCTACCTATTCCGCACCCTTTTTTCACAAACCCACATTTTCACCACCTATCTCAACCTATTATCATCCACCATTTGGAACACATTTTCCCAACCATGATGGTGGAGATCCACAACCATGGATTTTAGAGGTGGAAAATTATTTTCAATATTATCACATTTCTAAAGAGTTCAAAGTTAATATTGCATTAAGGGATTTAGAGGGAGACGCTTGTGATTTCTTTACTTCTATTAACATGGAACGTACAATCTTTTGTTGGGAAGAATTAGTGGAAGTGTTATAAGAATATTGTTGGCCTTTGGGATATTAGAACCCAAATGAGTTCTTATATAGCATCAAGCAAACTAGTTTTGTGTAGGAGTATCATTTGGAATTTGCAAGGTGCTCTGCTCGTGTGAAGAATTGGCCGAAACATTGCCTCTTGGGAGTCTTCATCAAAGGCCTCAAGGAGGAGCTCAGATCTGATGTCTGGATTCATAAACCTAGGATAGTTGACCGGGCTATTAGTTTGGCCCTTGAATATGAGTTAAAAGCCCAAAACTCTTATGGACCCAAAACTGTCCGGCAGAACCAAACTAAGCCTTTGTTTGCTTCAAGCCCTTATCAAATAGCATGTGACTTCAAATAGACATCAACTTCAAACTCCCTTCAGCCAGAAACTTCGACCTTGTCTCCTCACAAGCCAGCATCTATAATGGCTTCCATGGAAGCCAAAGAGCAACGACAAGGAGAGATGAGACTGTGTTTCAGCTGTGGTGAGGCTATTAGACCTGGGTATCGCTGCAAGGGATCTTTTTCACTATTGGAAATTACAAAGGAGGGCAAAGAAATTGTTTCTTCCCTTGAAGAGGACAAAAACATGGAGATGGAACCTAGTGGGGTTGAAATTTCCTGGGTAGCAACAACATATCTGCAATGAGGCTTCAAGGGAGCTTCTTTGAATCCCAAGTTTTGAACTTGGTGGATAGTGAGTCTAATTGCAACTTTATCCTTGAAATTCCCATGCAGCCTCTTGTTTGACCTTTTGGAATCCACATTAGAGATGCTACTATTTATCTATTGCTACTATCTCAACCTCCAGATACACAAGAAAACTATTGCCTATATCTCGCCTTGATGACAAGTCAAATTTTCAAGGAGGGAGCATTGATAGAGTTCTGAGATAATGGATAATTGAGGAAGAGAGATATTATGAATAAATATTATTTTTAATTTATTTTAGATATTTTCTATTTAATAATATTATTTAGATTTTATTTAGGTATTTAGTTATCTAGATTTTTTGTAGATATTTAGGTATTTATTTAGATATGTACTTATTTAAATTTTATTTATTTTTATTTAATTATCTAGTTATCTAGATTTTATTCATTATTTTAGATTGTATTTAGCATTATAAATATATTTAGTAACTTAGAAGCAGACATATCATGAATAAAACAAACTTTTCAGACTTTTGGCTCTTTGGAGATTCTCTTAAGTGTGGTTATTGAGAAAAGTATAGAACAAGATTTTTGTTTTACATCATCTTGATAGATTCACTTTTTCTATTTTCTTCTATCAATTTTATGTTCTCTTATTAATACTATGAAGTTAGATAGAGATTTATCTTCCTTACTTCTCTCTACCTATCTTGGAACCTATCAGTTTCCTTGTGGATTTACAAAGGGATTGGCAAATCTTTTGAGCTAATTGATTAGTTTGTTACTGGTTTAGGAATTAGCAAAATGTCTTTTGATGATGCAATGTCTCGTCTTTCACATTTTCATGTATGAAAATCTGTGTCTCTCGAAAATTCAAAAAGAAAAGAAATATCCAAAAACCTTGGGCTGGGAATCTATTCTTGGTTAAGCAAGAAGGTTGTTGTAGTGGGATTGATGCAGCTCTTCCCGCCAACAATGCTAGGGTGTGATAATTTAGGTGCTATACACATTTTCCTAAATCATGATACTTGGCGAACAATGGAGACTGAAGTAGATTGTCATTTTCCCCGATGGGGAAGATTCAGCATAAGCTGATTACAACATCATGTATTTGTTGGCAAAGAAATTTGGTTGTGCCAACCAAAGCTATTACTAGGACATGATCTCAGCAATGTTGATATTGTTAGAGATACAAGATACGGCACAATACTGATTCTGTGACAGTAATTAAATACAACTTGAAGTATTATATTGTGTCTAATACAAGTGCAGAATCTGCGGATATGATTCTTTGTTAAAGTATCAGTGTCTCATGGGGCTGAATTAACATGGATGCTCCAACTTGGAGTGTGTTATGATTGAGCGTTGGGTCTATGTTCCCCTAGTGCTATTACAGGACAGGTAGAATGTACTCCATGAACTGCCCCCTGGGGGCTACTAGGGGACAGGTAGGATGTACTACATGCACTGCTCCCGCATCTGTTATAAATACGATGGTTTAGGAGGGTAACCAATCAAAATCAAGTTTATTCCTCAAACCCCTCTCTTCTCTTTTTCTCTCATGCTGATGATTTGGTTTTCATGCTTTGCATCCCGTGTGATAATTAATACCCTTGTGTCAATTTGGTTTTCACATATGACTAGACCTGTTTTTCTCTTTGGTTTGCAAGAGAAATCTAGGCTAAACCTTGCTTCCCACCAACACCCCCCCCCCAAAAAAAAAAAAAAAAAAATTTTTGCTTTCCTTCTATGATGTTAATTTACTTCACAACTGAATTCTAGGCACCAGAGTAGCTTTCGATGTTCATAAACTTTATTTATGCTTCTATTTTTATTTAGGGATTTGAGGCATATGTTGGACTATTGTTGCTCAGAACCGCGTTTGTCCGGGTTGTTTCTGAGTGGCAGGTACTGGTCATGCCGTCTTATTTTATTTCACAACAGAATCCTTTATTTTGTACCCAAATTTATATAAAAGAACAGAAAATGAATGGTTAAAGTATATATTTGATCCTTTAACTTTATATAAGATTTAATTTGGTTCTTTGATTTTATAAAGTATCTTTTTAGTCATTTAACCGCAATACTGTTAATTTCAAATGATTATTTTTTGTGCTAATTATTATTTTAAAAAATTAAACTTAATATATCAACATTTGAGAATGTTTTTTTCCCCCAATATTTGAAAGTTCAATGTAGAAATTTTTTGTTGGTGAAACCAACAGTTTCAAGGTTATATGACTGAAAATATACTTCTTGTGTAAAGCTAAATGATCAAATGTACTTTAACCAAAATGAATTTAGTTAAATTGCATGTATTGATTATAAAATGACGGAATCTTCTTGGACAGGTAATATTTTGTGGTGTCCTGCTGGTTTTAATGGCTGTTGGGAACTTTGCAAATACAGTGCAGACGCTAATGGTGAAGTCAAGATTTAAGGCAAAGATGAGAAGAAGCAAGAGCAAGCAGGAACTAGATTAAAGCTCATTCTGGCTCCCTCAGCCTTTAGTTTCAGAAATTTTGCTACGTATATCAGTTTTGTCAGCATTTACCACAATTAAGCTAGTGATTAGTTTGGCTTGCTGTAGCATTCACACAATGAATCTGATCACAATAAGCAATGAATCTGGATTAAAATGATATTGTCCTGTAATTTGTCTTCCAGGAATCACCTTGTTCTTCTGTGGTGTCAAGATGATAATTAAAACTTGAAGCTTAAAACCTCGGAAGTAATTGAGACTATGCCTTGAGTTCAGCCTCAATTTGGTAATGTAGACTCGAGTTAGCAACTCGGGCTCTTTTGCTGGTTTGCATTTTTGTTTGTTATTTTCGCCGCCCCCGGGGGGGGGGGGGGTGGGGGGGAGTCATCTTTCTTGGTACCATTCTATGTGGTCCCTCTGTTTTTTTCTTTTTTTTCTTTTGTAAATCGGTCCACTCGGTCCTTGTAAATGGTCACGGTTGAAAAGCGAGTCCCTGAAATTCAATCTGTTCACAAATTTATCCTTATGGTACGTAGATGGCATTGTTGCTATTAAATTAAGGGTTAATGGGTATTTTTGCCTTGCAATTATTCACTTACGAGCGTTTGGCATTTTAAATTTATTCATGCGATATTTTTTTTAATATTTGTAGATGATGTACTGAGTTTTTTTTTTTTTCGTTGAAACATTAATTTACAATTAGTTGATCTAAAAAAAATTACAAAAGAAGACCTTAAAAATGATAGGAGATTGCATATAAGTACCCTATAAAAAAAATTAATTTCAATGTAATTCTTAAAATGGTATTATAAGTCTTCTTCCAAAATTTAAATTTACAAAAAAAAAAACAAAAGGCATTCATTTATAAATAACAGATACATTAGTTATGTTGTAAATTTTTTATAAAATGTGTAAATCTCAAACTTTAACTTATAAATTATGTGAAGATTTGTATTTTGGTCTTTTATATAATTAATAAATAACATTTGATGTTTATATATAATTTAACAGATTTAATTTATATTAGGTTATTTGTGTGTGATTTTTGGATTTTTTTTTTGTAATTTTGAGATTTTTTATAATTTTCAATTAACTAACAATTAAATTTATTTTTTTCAATGATAAAGTACCAGTACTTATTTTCGAATGCTAAAAGGAAAATTGTACCATATAAAAATTCAGGATACCAAATATTCATGAGCACAATTTAAGGATAAAAATATCTTTTAATCTTTAAATTAATTAATGATATGAAGAATAAACGCATGAAGAGCCACTAGGTGTTCTACTGGTAGATAAAGTTCATAGGAAGTTAAATACGAGTAGGATGGGATTATTTAAAAAAAAAAAGTCGGACATGGATTTTCTCGTGTGCAAAATACCATAGATATATACTCAGCAAGTTCATCCAATGAAGGGAATAACAAGTGTCCCTCAAAGAGTATGGAGAGCCTCAAGCCGAGGGTGGGACTGGAAATAGAACTAGGTAATATCAAGTTTTCATGTTTGATGCAAGGGAATGAAAATTCTAATCTCAATGCCAGCTCCATCTAAGTGAGATTTCTCAATACCACCATCTCATGGTATTGAAAAATTAATTCTACTATTGAAAATTTTCAAACCATACTGCCATCCCATCGCTCTCCTTTCTTGCTCTACTATCACTATCCTCTCCCTCTCGTTCCTCCATGACCTCCGTCTCCCTCTACCTTGTCTCAACTTTGTTCGTCTCTCCCATCATTGCTACTTGAACACAAGTTGCAGCGTCATGAGCACCAGAAGCAATAGCGAAGGACTTCAGCAGGAATGATGAACGAACAGCACCAACGACTTCAACCCACGACAACTAGAGACTTTTGACGTGAACAAGAATAGAAGTAGGAGACTGCGATGGTTGAGTGACAAGCAAAGTTGAGATCAATTCCATTTTCCTTTTCCACATCTGGTGACGGCAAAATCAAATCCTTGTTCTAGATCTGGTGAGATCAATTCCATTTTCTCCATCTTCATCGTTCACACATCTTCATCGATTCAAATCTTTGCCAGATATGGGTCTTCAATAGTTCATCTTCCTAATTTCATTTTCCGATGAGATCAATGATTGCAAGAATGAGTTGACGACGAGGATAATTGTCTTTTCTAATTTCCTTTCTATATTTGAAGTTCTTTGGCTACTTGTAGTTTTTAAATTTCTATAAGTCGTCTAGTGAATTCACAAAATAGGTACTATGAAACATTTATACAATTCCAAAATAGAACAAGTACCTTAAAGCTAGAAAGGTATGAATGAAATGAATTAAAAAATATGAAAATCATCACCCCTTTCAAAGACCTTGTAAATCATAACTTCCAACTTAATGAATTAAATTTCCCTCATTTCTTATAAATATAGACATATAGTTCACCAATTTCCCACTACATTTTAATCATTGTTATAAATATTACAAGGATGGTAGATGTTCATCTCCATCACTTCTTCATCTTATCTTCTCCCATGAAACTCTCACTATCATGAGAGTTGATTGCCCTCTCATGAAACTCCCATCATCATGAGAGTTGACTACCTTTTATTTGCTTTTATTATTTATGTAACCTTTGAATTTGATGTGCAAGACCATGCCTATAAATAGGCCATGTAATTTGTATTGAAGGATACAATAATCTATAAAAAATTCTCTCATTCTCTTGCCTCTACTTCTTCTGCTAATATCTCTATTTTTAAGTTGCTTAATTTTATAACACGTTATCAGCACGAGAGCTCTTATAATCTAAAGGTTTTGTAGCAAGGTAATTTTTATGTTCATATATGATTTGATCTATTTTCTAACCTTTTGATTCTTTTAATCTTGTTTAGTCTTGAATATTATCTAACTCTTATCATATTTTTATTATAATTTCTATATGACGAATCTTTCAAAACTTGAGTTTATGGCACTTGATATTATTGGGAAAAATTATATGTCTTAAGTACTAGATGCGAAAATCCATCTAGATGCCAATGGTCTTGGAGACATAATCAAGGATGATAATCAAGTATCCAATCAAATAAGGCTAAGGTCATAATCTTTCTTCGTCACCGTTTACATGAAGGGTTGAAAACTAAGTATTTGACTATAAAAAACCCCCTTGTTCTTTAGAAGAGTTTAAAAGAAAGGTATGACCATAAAAAAACTATAATTCTTCCAAAAGCTCATTATGATTAGATGCATTTATGTTTACAAGATTTTAAATCTATGAGTGAATATAACTTTGCAATTTTTAGAATCATTTTTCAACTGAAATTATGAGGAGAAAAAAGTCATTGATGATGATATGCTAGAAAAAAACATTCTCCACATTTCATGCATCCAACGTGCTCTTGCAGTAGTAATATCATGAAAAGGTTTTAAAAATATTCTAAAAATATTTCTTATCTTCTTATGGCTGAACAAAATAATGAGCTTTTGATGAAAAATCATGAATCTCGTCTAACTAGTTCTACCCCACTCCCTAAAGTGAATGCAGTGCCAAATGAATCAACTCAGGGTTATGGCCATGGTCGTGACCATAGTCGTGGACAGGTTGTGGCTGTGGTAGTACATCTTTCCATCAAAAGTGGCCAAACAATGAAGAGAAACACAAGAAAGTAACAAGTAGGGATAATATTAATATTATATTAATAATATCAATATTAATATTAATATTGAAAATTTGGGTTACCATTGTAGTGATAAAGTCATTATTGGTCACGTACCATTCCTACTCCAAAACATTTGATTGATCTTTACTAAGAATTGCTTAAATGTAAAACTAAAAACAAAGAAGCAAAGATAGAAATACATTTTGCTTCTGAAGAAGCCAATTCTGATTATGGTGACATGGATGTTACTTGTAACACTTGCCCCGAGTGTTATTCAAAAATTACACAATTCAAATAAACTAAGTGTGTTAAGGAGTTAATCCTAAAACCAACTTAGGAAACAAATCATTTAAAACCTAAAAAAAATTATAGATTCTATCTATAGCGCACGAAGCAAGTTAGACGAAAGTGAAATAAAAAGATGTTGTCATGATAGCCTTCTTGGGCCAACTTTTGGTAGGCACCGTTTTGCTATTCGACCTCTGATTGAAATAATTTTAAAGCTCACACGTCACATTCAAAGGGTACTATAAGTGTACCAAATTTCAAAAAGATCCAACGTTCAGATTAAAAATTAGACATGTTAAAAGATTAGCTATTTTTGCTGTCATGACAGCACCTCCGGACTAACTTTCGAGGTGCACCATTTCATCATTCGATCTCCGATCGGAGTGATTCCAAATCCCATATGTCACTTTTAAATAGTACTATTAACATACCAAATTTTGGAAAGATCCAACGGATGGATTAAATTTCGTGCATGTTGCAACATTATCAATTATTGCTGTCATGACAGCACTTTTGCTGTCATGACAGCTCCTTCGAACCAAATTTTGGAGTGTGCTGTTTCTCTGTCTGATATCTGATCGATGTAATTCTAAAGTCCACACGAAGCTTATAAAAGGTTTTACTTGTGACCCAAATTTTAGAGAAATCCAACGGTCGGATTAAGATTTGGACACCCGGATGTAAAAGTGCAGGTTTTTGGTAAAAACCATTTTCAAAATTATCCAAATCTCATCCTAATGGTCACAAACTTGTGGAAACACTTGACACGTCAAATAGAACTAAAACAACTGATAGAACATTAAAATTGTAGAAAAGCCCTTTATACCAAAATTTGACCACTCGGGTGCCATTTCTCAAAATGGACCATAAACTCTCAAAATGCACAAATCACACAAGAGTGGCAAAAAACTATTCCAAATATCATATTACACATATGAATATACATGCTAACATTTTCACTTGGCTCAGAGATCTCTGTGGGGCCCACGCACCCATTCTATCTATCTAAGGTATATGTTTATCCATAACACACACCATTTGCAATGCAACCATTTGCATTTGATTGTGGAATCACATATATACCAAAAAAATATTTGCTTGTCGTGAAAATTTTGGTACTAAATAAATCCGCACACCATAGCCAAGTTTTTCTACACAAGTCTACAAGCAGAAAAAAAATTCATACACAAGCCATACAATCCCACATATTCACACACATATTACATAATCACATCCTACTGCTAGCACCTAAT